CTTGCTTGCCTCCTGCTGGAGTTTCTCTTTGGAGCAGAGATATCTAATCTGGAGGGCACTTTTGACTATTTTAAGGGAACTATTTTTAGGGCACAAGGCTGTTTTTTTACCAAAAGACAGAGGCTACTCCCTGGAGATGCTTCTTATTTGCAGATGTGTATTACTCACCTGGTACAACCATGTACCAAGCTTCAATTTGATCACTGCTGCCTCCTTTAGGAGGAGAAGTTCTCATAGCCTGACACTCCTTCCTTGCCTCCCTTCTAGCGCCAAACTTTGAGTGATGTCCGGTGGGGAACCCAAGGCTTTGACCCCTTTATGTGCCTGGAGAGAGGACAGGGGTCCACAGGTTGGACTAGCGAGAGAAGAACTCTTTAGAGGCTCAGGACCTCTAAAGAGCCAGGAAGTATGAGCAGTCACCCTTGGAGGTCTCAACACTCTGCTGCCTCTCCCAACTCAAGCCTTAGGGTGTTTCCCATCTCATGTTTCTGCTCCCCACCAGAGCTCACCTCCTTCATGGGCACCAGAGGCAGGTCCAGCTCCCTCTCCTCCTGCAAAGAGGCTCTGTTCATGGAGGCTGGAACCATGCAGGGCAGCACTGTGTAGGAGGTGTCATGGCTCCTGCTTTCTCTTTTCCCTTTCTCCTTTGGTGCTTCCCAGCATGCACACACACACATACACACATACACACACAAACACACACACACACATGTGCACATGTGCGCGCGCTTTTTTGCCCTCCTCCCCAGAGGTGCTGGAAAAAGAACTATGCAGAGGAGGAGGAGGCAGGGCTGGGGGGCAGGCATCATCCTCCAGCCTGAGCTAAACCCCACTCCCACGGGAGCTGGGCAATCTGCTGCAGCAGCAAGGTTGCCCGCCATCTGCTGTGCTGACCTGTGTCCCCTCCGTGCTAGGGAGGGGGAGGAAAGGAAGAATAATTCATGAGGTACTGGCTGCAAGTGGGTGACCAGAAGTGAGAAGCGGTCCCACTGTGGGTGACTCAGAGGGCCTGCCTGTCCCTATCAGCAGGCACACTCCGGCCAGGCCAGTGTGTGGCTTGGGGAATCTGCATGGCTGTTTCCACTAGGGAGATGGCAGCAGGCTTGAGCTCTTGGGAACCCTTCTGCAGCCTGCCATCCAGAGACTGTGGCTTCCTGTTTATTGCCCAGGGGCCCCAGCCCATCCCTGGACATCACTAGGTAAGAAGCAGAGTGACCCCTCCCTATCCCTTCCCTGACCTAGGAGGCGCCACCAGCGGGAATTCTGTGTGTCCTCTGCTCCTCAGTATGTACTCAGTCCAAAATGGGCTATTCTTTTCCTTGGGTAACAGCCTTCCCCTGTATTCCAGGTCAGGAGTTATGCTCTGCAAGAATTTTTTTTGGCATAGATCACAGACACAGTGATACCCTAGCACAGGCTTGGAGGCCCAGCCTTGCCCACTGCCTGGTTACATATGGCCTAGGATCTTAGAGTGGTCCTTACATTTTTAGTTGGTTTGGAGGAGAAAGCAAATGATTTCAGTACATGTGAAAAGGATAGAAAATTCTCATTTCAGTGTCTATAAATAAAGTTATATTGGAACCCAGCCCCACTCGCTCACTCATATGTTGTCTCTAGTGCCTTTCCAGCAGTAACAGGGGTGTGGTGTCACTGTGACAGAGTGTGTGCTTCACAAGGCATATAACATTATCCAGCCTGCAACAGACCAGGTCTGTGCCTTCCCTCACGTTTGACTATTTTAAGGGAACAAGAGGGATGCCATCTTTTTTTGACAACTTATTCCACACTTACCTGTGCATTGGCACAGGAATATCTTGTAGCAGTGGAAGAGAAATAACTTTGTTGGGCACTCACTGTACAACAAGGCCTCTTGTCTCTGTTTATCACTTAATCTCCACAACCATCTTGAGTAGAACAAGCAGTAACAGTTCCATTTCTAGTATCCTTCTTTTTTTTTTTTTTTTCCCTTACGAGACAAGATCTCACTATGTAGTTCAGCCTGCCTTGAACTCACTATGTAGTCCAGGTTGGCCTCAAACTCACGGCAATCCTCCTGCCTCTGCCTCCCAAGTGCTAGGATTATAGGCATGTGCTCCATTGCCAGTGTGGAGGGAGACTTGGAAGTCACCCTGGTGCTTACAGCCTTGTCTAAAGAGGACCCTGAGACTAGGGCTGCAGTTCAGTGGTAGAGCACATGCTTAGCATGCCTGAAGCCCTGAATTCAATCCCCACACAGCATGTGCGCGCACAGCATCCTGAGTTCAAACTCTGGTCTGCTTGACTCCATATCCTCTGTGGGCCACCATTCTTCTAAGATGGCCTCCGGCAACCCAAATGCCTGCTAGTTTGGGCATCCCCATCAGCAAATAGGAGGACTGGGACTTATGTTTTATCAACTGGGCTTCCTTAGCCTCAGAGCTTGGTCCTTAGGCAGCAAGTCACAGGAGTGACAAAGTGACAACTCCTCATCATTTCACCTCCCTCCTCCTGCCTGCTTCTTTATGCTTTGCTATCTGCTATCTATTTTCATCACTTATTGGCTTTCCTTTGGGAAGATTCAACTTGCATTTAAATAGAAAACCTTCTCAATGACTCCATGTAACTTTAAGGTGCTAATTACAAATTCATTCCTCTTTAAATATTAAGGCACCCTGGTTCATCTCAGGGGTGGTGAAAGGCTGCAGAAATGCTTGGTGTTTATGAGTAATAAATGCTGAGCTGTTTACAGCAAAGTGCTTACAACTCTCCATCAGCAGAGGGCAGGAAGGAGGTGCTTGGGAGATCTATGCCAGACTGGGAACCTAAAATTACTACCAATGAATGTCCAACACCAATAATCCTTCAGAGAAACTGCTGAAGAGAGGCACCAGAGGTCCTCAGGTTGCCAGGTTCCAGAGTGGCTTTTGGTGTCTCTAGGCAGGGTCCCTGCCTGCGTTATTTACATGCTTTCCCATTACCAGCCCTCAAAATAGGCATCCGGGGGGACTCCAGGAGCACTTGTTGTGTGAATGACTGGAGCCAATTAATCAATTATGGGGGAGATCATTCATTCAGCTGCTGCTATGAGTCAGGCATTGCTAACCTAGATGATTCATGGAGTCTCTCTGTTAAATGGTTTATTCCTTTACATTTTCCCCAATGTCGTGAAGATGACATCTAATTTTCCTTGCTTTAAAAGAATAGAATCTCACTTTTTTTTTTCTTTTGACTGGAGATTGAACTCAGAGCCTTCACACCAAGCTATTTTCCAGCCCTTTTTATTTTTGATTTTGGGACAGGCATTCACTAACTCACCAGATTGCCTAGGTTGGGGTCAAACTTGTGATCCTCCTCCCTCAGTCTCCCAGGGTGCTGGAACTACAGGTGTGTGTTACCATGCCCAGATTGGCATTTTATAAACTAATTAATAATGTCACCTTCGGGGCTGGGGATTTAGCTCAGCGGCATAAACACCTGCCTTGCAAGCAGGTGGTCATGAGTTCAATCCCCAGTACTGATAAAAATAATAATAATCATAATAATAATAATAATGTCACCGTGTGCAGTATTCTATAATCATCATAAGGTATGACTGAGAGGTACATCTGGCTTCATATTCCCACTTCACAGGTGAAAAATCAAACCGAGCCAGGTGCAGTAGTGCACACCTGTAATCCCAGCTCTTGGGAGGCTGAAGCAGGAGGATCACCATGAATTTGAGGCCAGCCAGGGCTGCATAGCGAGCTCAAGGCCAGCCTAAACTACATAGCAACACTCGGTCTCAAAAAACAAGAAAGAGAAAGAAAGAAAGAAAGAAAGAAAGAAAGAAAGAAAGAAAGAAAGAAAACAAACCAGCTCAGAGAGGTGAAGACATTGACCTCAGAGCAACACCACTCCAATTTGAAGCCAAGCAAGGGCATGAACTCCAATTTCAGGCCAGCAACCTGGTTTTCTTTTGCACGTCACACTCCCCCTTGTCTTGGTGCTGGGCTGGTTACTCCAATATTCACAGTGTCCTGACTAAAAACTGGCCCTGTCTTCAGGACGCTGGGGCCTCAAATTCAAGCCTAGCCTCCCATCCAGGGTCAGTGCCTGAGCTCCAGCTCCTGAGCATTTTCTGCTCCCACCTTGGCTTTGTGTTTTCTGCCTCATACGCTCATCACTGAGGCTGAAGCCCTTCACCTCCTTTGTTGCTCACCTGGATGTCACCTCCTGCAGGCTGGCATGATTGTTACAGATGGGGGTAATGGTCCCCATGTACCATAGGGCTCCATTAGTGGCTGTAGTGCATACATGTAATAACAGAGGTGGCCTTAAATAATAATCACCACCAATATTTGGAGCACAATGCCAAATCCTTTGCATGTTCTATATAATTTGAACCTCAAAGAACCCAAGAATAATGACAATAGTTAACAAGTATATGGTGCGTGGTATGTGCTGTTAACTGATCTACATTTTGCACACATTAATTTAGCCACTACGGTAGGCACTATCATTACTGCCATTTTCTAAATGCAGAATCTGAGCCTTAGAGAAGATAAATGACTTTCCCAAGGTCCCACAACCACAGTGGTGAATGAAGTCCAGCTTGCTGGGGCCCAGAGTCTTTGTGCCCATGTAGATATGCTACCCTCTGGTCAGTGTTTTGAAGGCAGGAACCTGGTGATGTGTTATTCTTGCCAAGCACAGCCAATTCACAGCAAAGCATGGCAGCTTGCACACATTAGATACCCCATGAGTCAAGCTGAATTGGGGCCAGAGGCCAGATACTCTGGATATTGTGGATGTTGGTTGGTCTGTGCTCTGCACGGTGATCTTTGAGTTTAATTAACGGGGTTAAAACCAGATGGGGAGGAATCTTTAATCTCAAGGGCTGAGAGATCCAAGTTGGTCCCCCTGAACCCCTGTCAGCCTGTCTGCCCCACCCACCCCCATCTCACTACTACCACTGCCCATGTCAAAGGGGACTCTGCGTACCAAGATGTCTTTTTGCATGGATGGATTGAAATAAAACTTACCTGACCAGGGAAAAAGGACATCCGGTGATTATCTGGCAAAGACAGAGGAGCACAGGCCTGAAGGGCTGGCAGGTGCTGGATCAAAGACTCGAGCCTCTGGGCGGTGTTGGCAGAGATTCTGGGGATCCCCAGGGATTCCTCCGATGGACACATCCACTGCAGCTGCCTGGGCGGATGAACTGGGAAACAGCTAGGCCCTGTGCAGAGAGCGCGCGGCCAGTCCCACCCCACGCTGCACAGAGGCTGAGGGGGTGGGGATCCCTGAGCTCCAGGGGCTGCGACCTGCCAGACAAGGAGACCTCGGGCAGCCTGCAGAGCCCGACTTTCCAGGCGGGCGAGCATCTCTCCTGCCTCGGCAAGGGCCTGCTCCAGAGGAGAGGGTGAGGGGGCGGATGCGCTCGCATTCAGACAATAACTGCCATGGAAACTAACCAACAAAAAGAAGATTTAGGGAGCTGGACTGTCTGGCAGATGCGGGCGAGTGACAGCAAGAGAATGGAACCAATAACAGAGAGGCTGCCACTTGGGCTAAGGACAAACAGCTACCTCCATCGTGCAATAATGGCAGGGTTCCCCTTGCCATGCTCGGGCTCTGGGTAAAAGGTAGAGATATGGGTCGAGCTTCTGGCATTTGAGTGCCCAAGAGCCGCCCCATATTTCTGTCATACTGTGCATAGATGGGGCATCAGTGTTCAGAGAGGGTGAGAATTGTTAAGGAGCTGTTCGGCACCACAAGCACAGCTAGACTTACAAAAGAAGCATGGTTTGCCGGGGTAACCTGAACCTTTCAGAGCCCCAGAATCACTTTGCCGGGGGAGACTGCTTGCGGGAATTTCTTAGTTGAAAAGGCATGTTTCAGCAGGAGACCAGCAGGTCCCTCTGTAAGCCCACCCTGTTCCATAAGAGGTCACAGCGGACTACTACCAGTTCTGAGCAAGCAGGAAGGACTGACATACATGTGAGGTGTGGGGCTTCTCCTTTTCAGGACTTTTAAATCTGAGAGAATTTTCTCCGTGGAGAAAAACAAGGGCAAGGGAAAATCCTTTTATTCTTTGAGGAGAGGGGCTTGTTGGAGGGGAAAAAAACAGTCAACTGAGCACGAGAAATCCCACCCCAACTACTTAGCTGTGTCACTTTGGACGATTTTCTCCATCTGTAAGACACAACTTGATGGGCCGGGAGGAGATTAAATGAGGGGCTTGGCTCATAGTGTTTACCATTTTTATTGCTGTCATTATTAATTCATCTGATGCTCAGCTGTAAGATTGAGCCCGTAAAACTAATTTCTCATGGGGATTAAATGTAAGGATTAATTATGCAGTTATACTTGATGGAATGGTGGTTACAAGCGTGTACACATTTGCCAAAAAGCATCAAACCCATGCCTCTTATTATATGTACATTATCACCCCTTCCTCTTTTCTGTGGTGCTGGTACTTGGGATCAAATTCAGGGCTTCACACATGCGAGGCAAGCACTTTACTATTGAGCTACGGCCCCATTCCTATTCCCTAGTTTTTAAAAATATGAGTTTATACAACCAGGTAAATCAGCCCTCAATATGTGCGATGTAAAAAATATTCATTCCTCTCTTACTCGCTGGCCTTTTGCCTATGAAGAGAGGAAAGAGCAAGTGTGCTGGCAGTGTGAGGCGGACAGCAAGAGGGAGGAAGGGCTTGCAAGCAGGTCTTACTGATGGGCCTCCATGGAGACTCAGCTATTCTGGATGTTTCCTGAGGCTTAAACATCAGTTTCTCCACAGCAGCAGAGGCAGTACTGGGTAACTGCATTGCCTGTCTGAACTCAGCTCCTAATTTCACAGCTTGGTATAAGGAAGGGCACTGTTTGTCAGTGTGCTTCCTCCGTCTGCTCCAGAGGCCATCACCACTCTTTGTCTCAGCCACAACTTTCAGCTGTGCTTTGGTTCCTGAGCAGCGTGGCATGATGACCACTGATTGTCACTCTTAATAAAGAGTTGGCCCAGGGAGACACCCATTCATCAGAGCAGTGGTACCGTGTGCCACATTAGACATGCCTGAAAGAGATTGCTACAGCCCAATTAAAGATGTGTGTGTGTGTGTGTGTGTGTGTGTGTGTGTGTAGGGGGGCTGGAGGGATAGAAAGTGGAATGTAATTAAGAAGCAAGTAAAAAAAAAAAAAAAGAAGCAAGTAAAAATGATCCCAGGGGACAGTCAGATCACAAACTAACAGCTTGTCTGAGTGACAGCTGTTTGGGTGACACTGGAGACTGGAGAGTTTCTGCCCAGTGACCCAAAACAAGGGGACCCTTGCTGTGTGTCTGTTTGTTCCATGGGGTGATGCCAATCAATCATTTCTGTAATCCATATCCAAGAATGATGCTAAACTCACTTTGGGATCACCCATTTTAAGGAATTGGTGGTGGATAAACCGGCCCTTCTTTTCTGTTTTGATGCAAAGATGATGACGTTTCTGATATCAAATTCATTGGGGATGACTTCTGTTGTCTTTCCAAAGATATTCCTGTCTAGGGACAGGAAAGAGAGATGGGTGAGTTAAGATTGTGACGACTGAGTTGCTATGATCACTGCAGCCCTACATCGCAGTCTCAAAAGAATGAAATCCTGGTGTGAGTTCTAATATTCTGCCTAGGAACTTTGCAGTTATGCAACTGAGCAACAACTCTTTTAGCAGTGCTCCAATATTCAGTGGCAAAGTCCATGCCAGCTGAAATTAGCAGATTGGGAACCAGGCTAAAAAGCCAAGGAAGGAAGAAGGGCTGGGGTCAGCTCGGGTTCTGGGATACGGATAAGTGACCAAGATGGGCTCCTCTGCAGGGTCAGGATTGATCAGCTCGTTGTGTATTTCCAAGGCTCTTCTCCATGCAGCCACCCCCTTTTCACCCAAAAAACAAGAGGCCCCAGCTGAAATATAAAAAGGGGCCGGATCTGAAATCCTGCCTAATTTAAGCTCTGCTCACAAAGGAGGCCAGAGAGCAGAGGGAGGGGTGGAAATCAAGTAAGTAAATGTCAGCCCTGCAGTTGGGGAGAAGCCATTAGTCAGGAAGAGCATCCAATTAGAAGCAGTTGAATTAGAGCAGTGAAAGAGGGACTGAACTTCAGAGGGTGCTGCAGGGAAGGACCCAGTAAGCGGCAGGAAGGAGGCAGGGCTTGATCAATAGAGGATTACTGGGAGCTGTACGAATGGCGGGAGCACACAGCTTCCACATGACAGGGCACCCAGTCCAGACGCCCTTCACAAAATGCCCACATGGCTCCTTTGTCCTCTCCCAAATCCTGTCTCAGGGAGCCCAGCCATCCCACCAGCTAGTTTGGAAAAGATTTGTCCCTTTTGCCCAAGCCCAGAGACCAAACAGGCAGCCTTCAGCCACTCTAGGATTAATTGGAACACACAAAGAAGAGAGCAAATCCCTTGGCAAATGGAGCCTGGGAGATTTCATTTTTCCGCTTTTCAGTACAAACGTTCTCAAACAGATGCTGAAATACATCCGTCTGCTGTGCACGCAAAGAAAGCCAAGTCAGGTCACATGGAGATGTTTTCATTTAAAGCTATAATAATTATTTGATTTCAAAACCAGCAGTTGTCCAGGTTGAATCTGTTTTTTTTTTCCTTTTTAATAAACTCTTATTTCCTTATCTAGAGATATAAGAGATGAATTGTTCCTCCTTCTACATTTTAAAGATCTCAAAATAAGTCTCTTAAAAGCCATATAATTTATGCAATATCTAAATGGACCAATTCCCCACAATGAATGTCTTCATTATGTATTGTAAATATCTACTAATAAAATATTTTTAAAAACATAATTTGCCTGTGATACCCATGTGTCACTGATGCCAGGGTTTTAGGGAAGAAAATCTAGTCTGACAATGAAAATAGGAAGCAGCTCTGACCAAGGACAACTGAATGTTACTTATTCATTTAACAGGGCATGGGCACCTCCTGGGTACTAACCATGAGGAGATACATAGGAGATACAGCCTGGGCATCCAGGAAGCTTCCTGCCTCAAGGGCAGGTAAGACACAAGGCGTACATCTTGAGATTGGCAGGAAACAAGTATTAAGTGACACAGAGTTGAACTGCTCTTTGCACTTTGGAGTGGGAGAAAAGAAGCAATTGCACGCATCTGAGGATGCCAGAAAAGAGCTTGATAGAGAGATGGTCTTTGAGCGTGGCCTTCAAGCAAGTGTCAGCTTTTACAGGTCAGAGCGAAAGCACTTCAAGCAGGTTGTGGATCCCTGACTGTGGACTGAGACTGAGAGTGGGCTTTCGGAAGAAATAAAGGATGTCTCATTAAATTGCAATACTTAGGATATATTAAAACTTTGTTGATTGAAATTCAGAGTTAAGTGAGCTTTCCGTATTTTTATTTACTCAAGATGGCAACTCTGCACCAAGAGGAAATGAGCATTATCATATGTGAGGTTCCAGCAATATTCCAAGGGCACAGTACTCCAGAAGTTGTTCGTAAACTCCACAAGTATCTCTGCAAAAGGAGCAGGAGTGCGCCCATCTTAGAGGCAAGTAAGGCTTAGAGGGTGTAAACACTAGAGTCTGAGTCAGGCAAAGGAATGGCAATGCTGAGGACCTCTCATCCAGCCTCACTGGGCCTGTCCAGCCCGGTGATGGAACCTGAGGGGCCAGAGACATCCCTTGCTCCAGTGGTGGGTGAAGACCCAGGCTGGGTGAGTCTTGAAGGTTTTTGAGCAAGGTAGGAAATGACTAGAGCAGTCCCTGAATGTTAATCAGGCAGCAGACTGTGAAATGGCTTTGGTCCAGGTGAGAAATTTAGTGATCAGGAGACCATACAGTCTTCTCCACAAAAATGTATAGATCACTTGCTGGGTGCCGGGCGCTGTGCCAGCCACTGAGGGTTTTCGGGTGAGAATCAAAGGCACGGTCTCTGCCCTGGCAAAGTTCAGGCCCTAATGAACTAACAAGCAAGTGATTTCCATAGGAGGTAGAGAGTTTTGGGAGAGTGGAATGTGGCCTACTTAGAAAATAATCAAAATAGCCAGCCTACAGATGGAGAGTTGAGAACCCACACTAGGGCCAAAGACAAGGGGGTGTACAGTGCTCATAATAACCAAAGCTAAAATATGTCCAGACATGATCAAGTGATTTGATTCTTCATTACGAGGAGATTTGGAGCAGAAGAAACATAGGTCATTACTATCCATCAATAACTCAAAATCCCAATTACTCAAGCATTTCATATTCCTCCCTCACCCACAACTCATGGAAGTATTTGTGTCTTTGCTCACAAACCAGTAAAGCATCACAGTTAAGAGAAAATACTTCAAATATCTAAATGTAGGAAAAAAATCTAAATGTAGTT